AATTATAAAAATTATAGTCCTCTGGCTGACCACATATTAAAAGTACGCAGTAATTTTAAGGTAGTAAATACCGCTGCACGTTTGGACAGATCTCTCATGAAAGAGTCCCCAAATAACAAGCCATTGGCTTCTGGTCCCAGTTCTCGGGCGCTTAAATCTGCAATTTTTTAACACTATTTTCAACGTGCACATTTTTTGCACAGTAGTGCAATAATGATGGTTTTCAGTTTTTAGGGCTCAAAAAAGGAAGTAGAACTTTCTCTAGTGCACATTCTTTTCACACTCTTTGTTCCTGTATCTCCTCCTACTAAGTACGCCACAATGATTCTCACAAGCCGCTTATAATGATTCTCCTGTCATTATTTCTCAAAGGGAAATGGTCCTTGAAACAATATGGTGGTGAATTAACCAGTGGAGAATATGTTTGCCATTACTGCCAAGGTGGAAATATTTCTATTACAATGTTTTCTACACTTTTCCTATAACTAAGCAAGAAATTGCCTCTGAAGCTTTGACACCATTCTCTGATCTGGGTTATATGTGGTTTCATTGGTTTAATAAATGCATTGTTAATTAAACACAAGATACCTACAATATTGCATAAGAATACTTTTGATAACATAGTACTTAAACTGAGTTTACTTTTAATTATTGCAATTAAGTAAAAAACAACAACACAGAATGGGGTAGGCAAACGTAAGACACATTGGGCTAACTGGGTGGAAAGGAAAGTGGCTAGTGTATAAATGTTAAACATGTATTGTGGGCTTCTGGGTTGCGGTACTAACTTATTATGGCAAGAGATAAGCCTTGTTTTAGGGTGTATGGGATACACCTTAAGTCTGTAATACCACCTTTTTTTTAATGCCTTTTTTAGGAAGGAAACAGAAGAAGCTCCCGACCAGGATGGGTTACTCCCAAAAAAGGATGTACAGAGAGAGATAGAAGAAGGGGAAATAGGGGAGGAAAAGGAAAACTGGTGGCAAAGAGGAAAAAATGATAAGGAGATAAAGATTTTTAATTTGTCAGATAACATTTTAACTTCATCACATATTAGTATTTTAAATTTGCACCTTGTTTTTTTAATAAATTTGACACATATGTAGATAATAGGTTTTTAAGGAAATTGTGCCTCAACGTTTTTTAAAGATAAAGAAATTGAGATATCAAGAGAGACTACTTTTAATGAAACACCTTTTAAACATGCAGTTTGAAAAAAACCTCTTCCTTTTATCCCATACACCTTACATCAAATAACATGAACGTTTTTGAGAAAGCCTGTGTTAAAGATATTAAACAGATGAAAATAAAAAAACGATAAATACACCTATAATTTAACAATTAGAGAAAAACAAGCACTAAAGGATAAAGACAGATCCTAATTTGGTTATTAAGCCAGCAGATAAAGGTGGTGGGATAGTGCTATTGAATAAGGATAAATATTTGAAAGAAATGTATAGAAAGTTAGAGGATCGTGACACATATGAAAAATTAAAAGGTAATCCAACTGCAGAGATTAAAAGAAAATACGCCCAATTTTTAGATACAAGTTTGTTAACAGGTATCCTAACTAAGACAGAATACAACTTTTTAAATATAGATTCTCCTAAAATAACGGTAATATATATGTTACCTAAATTACATAAAGACATTCAGAATCCACCAGGGAGACCTATAGTCTCTTGGGTAGGTTCACTTTTGTCCACACTTTCAAAATATGCTGACACGCACTTCCAATTCATCGTTAAGACCTGTCCATCTTATTTAAAAGACTCAAGTCTTTTACAAATTTCAAAGGATTTTAAATGGAGTAATTAATTTGTATTAATTACTTGTGATGTCACAAGCCTCTATACATGCAAAGAACACAGTAGAGGTTGTGTGGCTATTAAATATTTTTTAGAGTCATCTAATATCTTCCCCCTGGAACAGATGGATTTTATTTTAGATTTTTCTTATTTTAACTAATAATTTCTTCTGGTTTGAGGGGGACTACTATCTTCAACGTAGAGGTACTGCGGTGGGGACTAGGTTCACACCCAGTTATGCCAATTTATTTATGGCATACTGGGAAAAGTTTTTAATTTATTCAGGGCATGGTTGGGCACAGAACCTAGTCCTCTACCGAAGATATACAGATTAAATTTTTTTTCATTTGGCGTGGCTCTAGGGCACCTGTTTTAGAGTTTTTAGACTTTCTTAATAGTAATGATTGGAACATTACATTGTCTTATGAAATTAGTGATGTCAGCATTATTTTTTTAGATCTTAAAATCTAAATAGAGGAGAATCTTATTAAAACATGCACTTTTTTAAAGAAAGTGGATGTAAACAGTTTTATTCAGAAAGACAGTTGCCATTTTCTCCCCTGGTTAGAAAATGTGCCCAGGGGGTCAATTTTTGCCACTAAGATGCAACTGTTCAGATATATCTAAATACGACTCTCGAGCCAATTTATTGAAAAAACTATTTTTAAATAGGGGTCATTCTTCCGACATTGTAGATAAAGAAATTAAGAATGTTAGAGAATGCAAAAGAGATGCAATATTGACATATAAACCAAAAAAGTTGAATAACACCCAAGAATCTATTCCCTTTATTTTTCATTTCCACACAAACCACAAACAATTGAAAAACATTTTGAGGAAGAATTGGCATATCCTACAACAGGATAGTGAGATTGCACCCTATTTAGGCAATAATCCTAAAATAATCTTTAGAAGAGCCCAAAATAACTTCTAGTTTTATTGACCAAAATAATAAAGATTTTATTAGTTCATATAAAAATTTACAAATGGGGTTGCACTATTGTGGTAACTGTATGGGCTGTAAATCACTTTCTGTTCCAAAACTAATTCTAGAAAATTTTAAATTAATTAATTTATATCCTGTAACTCTAAAAGTGTTGTGTGGGTCATTGTGGTCTCCAGTATGGGGGGGAAACTTCCAGATGTTTGGGGACTAGGATACACAAGCACATATACAACATTAAAAGGGGTCATCAAAACCATAACGTTTCTCTACACTTCCTAAATTATCACGATAAAGATCCCAGTGGAATCCAATTTTATGGTAAACAATTAATACAAAAACACTGGAGAGCTGGTAACTTGGAAACCACCGTAAGTAAATGTCAAATGAAATGGATTTTTGATTTAGATACCTTAAATATGGATTTTGAAATGAGTGCTTTGGTTTGAATTTAATTTTATCAAGTTTTGTCAATCACTTATGGCTATCTAGTGTTTATATTTTTATTATTTTGGGATTGTTTATTTATTCATATATAGTTTTTAATATATTATTCTATGTCTCCTTACCAATCTTTTTTCTGCTTTTCCTTATATATAAGTCATTTTAATAAAATTATGGATGTGATGTATGTATATAACTTTATATCTAGATCGTTTATTGATGGACTACATTGTGGGCAAAGTACTATTTATATATACAATTTAGGACTATTTAAGATGGCAGCTTTAGACTCAGATGGCAACTTTAGAAGAAAAAAAAACTAGAAGAAGAAAAAAAGGGGGGAGTTAAGAATTGATTGTTGAGGGGAAAATGGGAAGAATGGGGAAGTGGTCCCTCATTCACACCCGGCCCCTTACTTAGAACCGGAGGCAAACAGGGAAGCTTGAGACAGAAAGCAGAAGAAAGAGAAGTAGTCTGTTGGGAATGTACACACCTAAGAAATCAGAGGGGACCCATGTGTTGGCGAGGGCTGTAAGTGTCCCTCCTAGGTAACCAGACCTGTTTTCGGTGACTTCCAACACCCTACCACCAGTAGCGCACACACAAGCTCTATGGGGAGCGTGGCTCGAGATCCCACCAGACAGTCCGCCATATTGGAATGACTCATCACTCCTGCTCCATCGAGGTTGCCCCTTAAAACTTAAAAGAGAAGCGGAAATTACCACAAATACATGTAAATATATATATTAAAAAAAAAGCAGAAATGGGTACGAATAAAGAACCCCTACTCTATCCATTCCTCCCAAAGGCAGTCCCACATCCACCTCCCCTTTCATCCCCTTATGTAGTCCCAGAGTATGACATAGTCGGTAATTTTGCAGATATGCCTCTCACCTGCCCTCACCTCCCTCCCTCCTCCCCGTCTAAGGCTCTCCCTTGGGGTGAGTTTTAGGAATGAATGACCTCAGTCGCCTATATCCGCCAGCCTCCCCCTATGGATCTGTCGTGGTATATAAAATCTATCAGTGATGTGTGTGGAGCAGTAGTACTGCAATACAGAAAAGGATATAGGCATGAGACAGCGCATGATCTGCACCATGCCTATCTGCCTCAGGTCACCTCCGGCTCACAACCGCTAGTTATATCTTCCCACCGAATGCCACAATACAATTATACCCAATGCGTTTTTTATGGGATTTGCAGACCTGGGTAGGGTGTGCACTAGCTGTTTGGGGGACAATGTCATCAGGTGGGGAAGACAAGATAATATACAGTAGATTCAGGTAGCTCCTCCCCCACTCCAAATTTTTTTATTTTTTTTAAATAATAATAATAAAAAAGAAAAATTGATAAGTAAATATGTAGTTTAAAAATGAGGAATGAGAAGACTATGTCTAATATGTAGGGAGTCTCTCCCAGGAGTTGGATGCTTGTGCACCCATGGTCTTGCCCCATCCTGCAGTGGGGTGGTCGTTGCATCGAGTGCGCATCATTGTGACTTGGGCATGCAGGAACTGAGGGGTATCTCAGGCCTTCTTCATAATTGCGTCCTTGACTGGGAAGGAGTGCATACAGCAGATTAGGTCTCTCAGTGGATCTGCGGGAGTCCTGGGTCTCAGCGCTCGGGGGGGTCTCTCAAATTCAAACTGAGCCGGTGCTTCCTCGCGCAGGATAGAACAGAACAGGCCAGAAAGTATTTCCTTCACATCTTCCTGCCCCTCCGGCTCAGGAATGCCGCGGACTCTGATGTTGCAGCGGCGCCCTCTATTTTCTTTGTGGCATCGCATTGCTAGCAGCATCGTTCCCTACCTTGCCACTACTATGTCTGTTGCTGTGGAGCGGGATGTTAGCTCTGCCGTGGATGCCTCCAGGGTCTGCAAGCGGCCATCCTGCGTGGTCACCTCAGCTCTTAGGTGTGCCATCTCTGAATTGATCAATTCGTGAATCATGGAGGTAAGTTTCTGCAGATCCTGCTTGGTGGATGCCATGTTATGAAGGTCCTCCCCAATCCTGTCCAGAGTGGATCGTTCTGAGCGCTCAGAGCCCACTGGGGAGGAAGGTGATAGTGGCGCCATGTTAGGGCTGCCTGCCTTGTTGCTGGCTCCGGCCGGGGCAGACAAATACTCGTCCATGTCATCCATGAGGCCTGTGTTGGACCCTGATGGACTGCTCCTCGGGTCTGGGATGGTTCCGTGCGGCGTGTGCAACCCATTTGGCTGATTTTGACAGGTAGTGGTGCTATACAGGGGTGAGATGGAGCGGAGCTCTTGTCTTAGGCAGCCACTCAGCACGGAGTCCAAGCCACGCCCCCAATAAAATTAAGATTACATGTACACTAAAGCTAGCATAATCTACAATTGTCATTTATTACTTTTACTTGGTTGAACATGTGGAGGTAATGTGGAAGGAAAAACCACATAAAGTATAGTCAGGAGAAATGAAAACTATTATACAGTGGGCATCCAATTCAGATGCACATCTGGAAATAAAAGATGCACCTCAAAAACCACCTCTAGGGGCATACTGAGCATGTAGGAGCTCGTCTCAAACTGGACAGATTTCACAAATGACCTAACTTCTACACATGCTCAGCTGCTCTCAACAGTTTAGCTAGACAGCCATCACTTATAATCACTGAGTCAGCTGTATCGGAAGAAGGGAAAGACAAATTATAGCACAGCAGTACTCTGTGGTGTGTGCTTACCATTTATAATGGAAGTTTAGCCTTTCTTTTTTTTTAATTCTTTATTTTTGTGTGCATTGTGATTCATACAATTGTGTCATGAATATATGCAAGATTAATACACATAAGAGTAGCATTACTTGACATAGAATAACTATGCACTGCACTTTTTAGTATAGAGAGACATAAATTAGTTAATATAGGAACATGCTTAACAGAAGAGAATCAGGCTAACATGTCTAGATTTGAGGTGCCAGCAGGATGGTCTAACTTACAGGTAACACAAGACTTGGTGGGTGTTGTATGCTACGGGTACCAGGCTAATCTAATTCGTTGTGCACAGGGACGATAAGAGAGGTGGGCATGTATTATGCAGCAGTAGGCTGAATCTGCTAGGCAGTAGCTTGCTAATGACAGGGAACTCCTTACATAGCTATATAAGCTTATGGGGTGGGCTATAGTTAAGGGGAGCCTGGTCTGCAGCGCCCCCCACCCCACTAAAGTTCCCTACCGTCATCCAATGCCCATGCTGAACACCATAGTTTCATACAGAGTTTGAGTCCCGGCAGTCCAGAACAGGTCACACCGCTGGCCCCAGGTCTCTGCGAGGGCACGTTTGCAGTTCCCAATACTCCGGCCCGCTTGGCTCTGCGAGTGATGTCCCGGATGGCAGTATGCATGGCGTGAAAGTGACGTTGTTCCCGTCGGCGTCGTGTAATAAGATTCCATGGTGTCTTCCGTTTAGCCCTCAGCTTGGGCATGCAGGAGCGGGTGCTGTGCCTCTCAGGACGTGGATGGACCATGGTTTGGCAGGCTTTCCTCCTAAGAGGCTTTCCATGGCAGAGTGTCAGGGATGGTCTCCGCGCTGAGCAGGCTGTGGAGTGCTGAGCTTCATTAGGCTGGTGCCTCTGTGCTCCTTCCTCTCTACTCTCCTCTGCAATTCCAGCCTGTCTGTGTTCAAGCTTCAGCCAGAAGGCGCGAAAGAGCTTGTCCAGTCGTTTTTGCAGTGATTCCTGTGAGTCTCCAGTGGTTTCTGCAGGCACTGTGTTCGCACTGTGTACACAAACAGATAGCAGAAATAATGCGAACACAGCGCAGTGAAACTATTAAAATGGAAGAAATAACAAGATATTGACACATAATGATGACTTTTATTGTGTTTAGCATTAATAGTAATTTAACTAATCAAGTACTGTTGTGAATTGTTAGTAAATACCATAAACTGTTCAAGTGTGCTCACAAATTATAAAAATTATAGTCCTCTGGCTGACCACATATTAAAAGTACGCAGTAATTTTAAGGTAGTAAATACCGCTGCACGTTTGGACAGATCTCTCATGAAAGAGTCCCCAAATAACAAGCCATTGGCTTCTGGTCCCAGTTCTCGGGCGCTTAAATCTGCCATTTTTTAACACTATTTTCAACGTGCACATTTTTTGCACAGTAGTGCAATAATGATGGTTTTCAGTTTTTAGGGCTCAAAAAAGGAAGTAGAACTTTCTCTAGTGCACATTCTTTTCACACTCTTTGTTCCTGTATCTCCTCCTACTAAGTACGCCACAATGATTCTCACAAGCCGCTTATAATGATTCTCCTGTCATTATTTCTCAAAGGGAAATGGTCCTTGAAACAATATGGTGGTGAATTAACCAGTGGAGAATATGTTTGCCATTACTGCCAAGGTGGAAATATTTCTATTACAATGTTTTCTACACTTTTCCTATAACTAAGCAAGAAATTGCCTCTGAAGCTTTGACACCATTCTCTGATCTGGGTTATATGTGGTTTCATTGGTTTAATAAATGCATTGTTAATTAAACACAAGATACCTACAATATTGCATAAGAATACTTTTGATAACATAGTACTTAAACTGAGTTTACTTTTAATTATTGCAATTAAGTAAAAAACAACAACACAGAATGGGGTAGGCAAACGTAAGACACATTGGGCTAACTGGATGGAAAGGAAAGTGGCTAGTGTATAAATGTTAAACATGTATTGTGGGCTTCTGGGTTGCGGTACTAACTTATTATGGCAAGAGATAAGCCTTGTTTTAGGGTGTATGGGATACACCTTAAGTCTGTAATACCACCTTTTTTTAATGCCTTTTTTAGGAAGGAAACAGAAGAAGCTCCCGACCAGGATGGGTTACTCCCAAAAAAGGATGTACAGAGAGAGATAGAAGAAGGGGAAATAGGGGAGGAAAAGGAAAACTGGTGGCAAAGAGGAAAAAATGATAAGGAGATAAAGATTTTTAATTTGTCAGATAACATTTTAACTTCATCACATATTAGTATTTTAAATTTGCACCTTGTTTTTTTAATAAATTTGACACATATGTAGATAATAGGTTTTTAAGGAAATTGTGCCTCAACGTTTTTTAAAGATAAAGAAATTGAGATATCAAGAGAGACTACTTTTAATGAAACACCTTTTAAACATGCAGTTTGAAAAAAACCTCTTCCTTTTATCCCATACACCTTACATCAAATAGCATGAACGTTTTTGAGAAAGCCTGTGTTAAAGATATTAAACAGATGAAAATAAAAAAACGATAAATACACCTATAATTTAACAATTAGAGAAAAACAATCACTAAAGGATAAAGACAGATCCTAATTTGGTTATTAAGCCAGCAGATAAAGGTGGTGGGATAGTGCTATTGAATAAGGATAAATATTTGAAAGAAATGTATAGACAGTTAGAGGATCGTGACACATATGAAAAATTAAAAGGTAATCCAACTGCAGAGATTAAAAGAAAATACGCCCAATTTTTAGATACAAGTTTGTTAACAGGTATCCTAACTAAGACAGAATACAACTTTTTAAATATAGATTCTCCTAAAATAACGGTAATATATATGTTACCTAAATTACATAAAGACATTCAGAATCCACCAGGGAGACCTATAGTCTATTGGGTATTTGTCCACACTTTCAAAATATGCTGACACGCACTTCCAATTCATCGTTAAGACCTGTCCATCTTATTTAAAAGACTCAAGTCTTTTACAAATTTCAAAGGATTTTAAATGGAGTAATTAATTTGTATTAATTACTTGTGATGTCACAAGCCTCTATACATGCAAAGAACACAGTAGAGGTTGTGTGGCTATTAAATATTTTTTAGAGTCATCTAATATCTTCCCCCTGGAACAGATGGATTTTATTTTAGATTTTTCTTATTTTAACTAATAATTTCTTCTGGTTTGAGGGGGACTACTATCTTCAAAGTAGAGGTACTGCGGTGGGGACTAGGTTCACACCCAGTTATGCCAATTTATTTATGGCATACTGGGAAAAGTTTTTAATTTATTCAGGGCATGGTTGGGCACAGAACCTAGTCCTCTACCGAAGATATACAGATTAAATTTTTTTCATTTGGCGTGGCTCTAGGGCACCTGTTTTAGAGTTTTTAGACTTTCTTAATAGTAATGATTGGAACATTACATTGTCTTATGAAATTAGTGATGTCAGCATAATTTTTTTAGATCTTAAAATCTAAATAGAGGAGAATCTTATTAAAACATGCACTTTTTTAAAGAAAGTGGATGTAAACAGTTTTATTCAGAAAGACAGTTGCCATTTTCTCCCCTGGTTAGAAAATGTGCCCAGGGGGTCAATTTTTGCCACTAAGATGCAACTGTTCAGATATATCTAAATACGACTCTCGAGCCAATTTATTGAAAAAACTATTTTTAAATAGGGGTCATTCTTCCGACATTGTAGATAAAGAAATTAAGAATGTTAGAGAATGCAAAAGAGATGCAATATTGACATATAAACCAAAAAAGTTGAATAACACCCAAGAATCTATTCCCTTTATTTTTCATTTCCACACAAACCACAAACAATTGAAAAACATTTTGAGGAAGAATTGGCATATCCTACAACAGGATAGTGAGATTGCACCCTATTTAGGCAATAATCCTAAAATAATCTTTAGAAGAGCCCAAAATAACTTCTAGTTTTATTGACCAAAATAATAAAGATTTTATTAGTTCATATAAAAATTTACAAATGGGGTTGCACTATTGTGGTAACTGTATGGGCTGTAAATCACTTTCTGTTCCAAAACTAATTTTAGAAAATTTTAAATTAATTAATTTATATCCTGTAACTCTAAAAGTGTTGTGTGGGTCATTGTGGTCTCCAGTATGGGGGGGAAACTTCCAGATGTTTGGGGACTAGGATACACAAGCACATATACAACATTAAAATGGGTCATCAAAACCATAACGTTTCTCTACACTTCCTAAATTATCACGATAAAGATCCCAGTGGAATCCAATTTTATGGTAAACAATTAATACAAAAACACTGGAGAGCTGGTAACTTGGAAACCACCGTAAGTAAATGTCAAATGAAATGGATTTTTGATTTAGATACCTTAAATATGGATTTTGAAATGAGTGCTTTGGTTTGAATTTAATTTTATCAAGTTTTGTCAATCACTTATGGCTATCTAGTATTTATATTTTTATTATTTTGGAATTGTTTATTTATTCATATATAGTTTTTAATATATTATTCTATGTCTCCTTACCAATCTTTTTTCTGCTTTTCCTTATATATAAGTCATTTTAATAAAATTATGGATGTGATGTATGTATATAACTTTATATCTAGATCGTTTATTGATGGACTACATTGTGGGCAAAGTACTATTTATATATACAATTTAGGACTATTTAAGATGGCAGCTTTAGACTCAGATGGCAACTTTAGACACCATTCATATGCACCCGACGGATTATTACATCACGCATGACGTCGCCATGTGGACATGACAGCGCACCATCGTGACATACTAGTAAGACCGAGAAACGGGCCAGGGAGGGTTATGGGGTGAGAAAGAGGAGGAAGAGAGAAGAAGAAAAAAAGGGGGGAGTTAAGAATTGATTGTTGAGGGGAAAATGGGAAGAATGGGGAAGTGGTCCCTCATTCACACCCGGCCCCTTACTTAGAACCGGAGGCAAACAGGGAAGCTTGAGACAGAAAGCAGAAGAAAGAGAAGTAGTGTGTTGGGAATGTACACACCTAAGAAATCAGAGGGGACCCATGTGTTGGCGAGGGCTGTAAGTGTCCCTCCTAGGTAACCAGACCTGTTTTCGGTGACTTCCAACACCCTACCACCAGTAGCGCACACACAAGCTCTATGGGGAGCGTGGCTCGAGATCCCACCAGACAGTCCGCCATATTGGAATGACTCATCACTCCTGCTCCATCGAGGTTGCCCCTTAAAACTTAAAAGAGAAGCGGAAATTACCACAAATACATGTAAATATATATATTAAAAAAAAAGCAGAAATGGGTACGAATAAAGAACCCCTACTCTATCCATTCCTCCCAAAGGCAGTCCCACATCCACCTCCCCTTTCATCCCCTTATGTAGTCCCAGAGTATGACATAGTCGGTAATTTTGCAGATATGCCTCTCACCTGCCCTCACCTCCCTCCCTCCTCCCCGTCTAAGGCTCTCCCTTGGGGTGAGTTTTAGGAATGAATGACCTCAGTCGCCTATATCCGCCAGCCTCCCCCTATGGATCTGTTGTGGTATATAAAATCTATCAGTGATGTGTGTGGAGCAGTAGTACTGCAATACAGAAAAGGATATAGGCATGAGACAGCACATGATCTGCACCATGCCTATCTGCCTCAGGTCACCTCCGGCTCACAACAGCTAGTTATATCTTCCCACCGAATGCCACAATACAATTATACCCAATGCGTTTTTTATGGGATTTGCAGACCTGGGTAGGGTGTGCACTAGCTGTTTGGGGGACAATGTCATCAGGTGGGGAAGACAAGATAATATACAGTAGATTCAGGTAGCTCCTCCCCCACTCCAAATTTTTGTATTTTTTTAAAATAATAATAATAAAAAAGAAAAATTGATAAGTAAATATGTAGTTTAAAAATGAGGAATGAGAAGACTATGTCTAATATGTAGGGAGTCTCTCCCAGGAGTTGGATGCTTGTGCACCCATGGTCTTGCCCCATCCTGCAGTGGGGTGGTCGTTGCATCGAGTGCGCATCATTGTGACTTGGGCATGCAGGAACTGAGGGGTATCTCAGGCCTTCTTCATAATTGCGTCCTTGACTGGGAAGGAGTGCATACAGCAGATTAGGTCTCTCAGTGGATCTGCGGGAGTCCTGGGTCTCAGCGCTCGGGGGGGGTCTCTCAAATTCAAACTGAGCCGGTGCTTCCTCGCGCAGGATAGAACAGAACAGGCCAGAAAGTATTTCCTTCACATCTTCCTGCCCCTCCGGCTCAGGAATGCCGCGGACTCTGATGTTGCAGCGGCGCCCTCTATTTTCTTTGTGGCGTCGCATTGCTAGCAGCATCGTTCCCTACCTTGCCACTACTATGTCTGTTGCTGTGGAGCGGGATGTTAGCTCTGCCGTGGATGCCTCCAGGGTCTGCAAGCGGCCATCCTGCGTGGTCACCTCAGCTCTTAGGTGTGCCATCTCTGAATTGATCAATTCGTGAATCATGGAGGTAAGTTTCTGCAGATCCTGCTTCGTGGATGCCATGTTATGAAGGTCCTCCCCAATCCTGTCCAGAGTGGATCGTTCTGAGCGCTCAGAGCCCACTGGGGAGGAAGGTGATAGTGGCGCCATGTTAGGGCTGCCTGCCTTGTTGCTGGCTCCGGCCGGGGCAGACAAATACTCGTCCATGTCATCCATGAGGCCTGTGTTGGACCCTGATGGACTGCTCCTCGGGTCTGGGATGGTTCCGTGCGGCGTGTGCAACCCATTTGGCTGATTTTGACAGGTAGTGGTGCTATACAGGGGTGAGATGGAGCGGAGCTCTTGTCTTAGGCAGCCACTCAGCACGGAGTCCAAGCCACGCCCCCAATAAAATTAAGATTACATGTACACTAAAGCTAGCATAATCTACAATTGTCATTTATTACTTTTACTTGGTTGAACATGTGGAGGTAATGTGGAAGGAAAAACCACATAAAGTATAGTCAGGAGAAATGAAAACTATTATACAGTGGGCATCCAATTCAGATGCACATCTGGAAATAAAAGATGCACCTCAAAAACCACCTCTAGGGGCATACTGAGCATGTAGGAGCTCGTCTCAAACTGGACAGATTTCACAAATGACCTAACTTCTACACATGCTCAGCTGCTCTCAACAGTTTAGCTAGACAGCCATCACTTATAATCACTGAGTCAGCTGTATCGGAAGAAGGGAAAGACAAATTATAGCACAGCAGTACTCTGTGGTGTGTGCTTACCATTTATAATGGAAGTTTAGCCTTTCTTTTTTTTTAATTCTTTATTTTTGTGTGCATTGTGATTCATACAATTGTGTCATGAATATATGCAAGATTAATACACATAAGAGTAGCATTACTTGACATAGAATAACTATGCACTGCACTTTTTAGTATAGAGAGACATAAATTAGTTAATATAGGAACATGCTTAACAGAAGAGAATCAGGCTAACATGTCTAGATTTGAGTTGCCAGCAGGATGGTCTAACTTACAGGTAACACAAGACTTGGTGGGTGTTGTATGCTACGGGTACCAGGCTAATCTAATTCGTTGTGCACAGGGACGATAAGAGAGGTGGGCATGTATTATGCAGCAGTAGGCTGAATCTGCTAGGCAGTAGCTTGCTAATGACAGGGACCTCCTTACATAGCTATATAAGCTTATGGGGTGGGCTATAGTTAAGGGGAGCCTGGTCTGCAGCGCCCCCCACCCCACTAAAGTTCCCTACCGTCATCCAATGCCCATGCTGAACACCATAGTTTCATACAGAGTTTGAGTCCCGGCAGTCCAGAACAGGTCACACCGCTGGCCCCAGGTCTCTGCGAGGGCACGTTTGCAGTTCCCAATACTCCGGCCCGCTTGGCTCTGCGAGTGATGTCCCGGATGGCAGTATGCATGGCGTGAAAGTGACGTTGTTCCCGTCGGCGTTGTGTAATAAGATTCCATGGTGTCTTCCGTTTAGCCCTCAGCTTGGGCATGCAGGAGCGGGTGCTGTGCCTCTCAGGACGTGGATGGACCATGGTTTGGCAGGCTTTCCTCCTAAGAGGCTTTCCATGGCAGAGTGTCAGGGATGGTCTCCGCGCTGAGCAGGCTGTGGAGTGCTGAGCTTCATTAGGCTGGTGCCTCTGTGCTCCTTCCTCTCTACTCTCCTCTGCAATTCCAGCCTGTCTGTGTTCAAGCTTCAGCCAGAAGGCGCGAAAGAGCTTGTCCAGTCGTTTTTGCAGTGATTCCTGTGAGTCTCCAGTGGTTTCTGCAGGCACTGTGTTCGCACTGTGTACACAAACAGATAGCAGAAATAATGCGAACACAGCGCAGTGAAACTATTAAAATGGAAGAAATAACAAGATATTGACACATAATGATGACTTTTATTGTGTTTAGCATTAATAGTAATTTAACTAATCAAGTACTGTTGTGAATTGTTAGTAAATACCATAAACTGTTCAAGTGTGCTCACAAATTATAAAAATTATAGTCCTCTGGCTGACCACATATTAAAAGTACGCAGTAATTTTAAGGTAGTAAATACCGCTGCACGTTTGGACAGATCTCTCATGAAAGAGTCCCCAAATAACAAGCCATTGGCTTCTGGTCCCAGTTCTCGGGCGCTTAAATCTGCCATTTTTTAACACTATTTTCAACGTGCACATTTTTTGCACAGTAGTGCAATAATGATGGTTTTCAGTTTTTAGGGCTCAAAAAAGGAAGTAGAACTTTCTCTAGTGCACATTCTTTTCACACTCTTTGTTCCTGTATCTCCTCCTACTAAGTACGCCACAATGATTCTCACAAGCCGCTTATAATGATTCTCCTGTCATTATTTCTCAAAGGGAAATGGTCCTTGAAACAATATGGTGGTGAATTAACCAGTGGAGAATATGTTTGCCATTACTGCCAAGGTGGAAATATTTCTATTACAATGTTTTCTACACTTTTCCTATAACTAAGCAAGAAATTGCCTCTGAAGCTTTGACACCATTCTCTGATCTGGGTTATATGTGGTTTCATTGGTTTAATAAATGCATTGTTAATTAAACACAAGATACCTACAATATTGCATAAGAATACTTTTGATAACATAGTACTTAAACTGAGTTTACTTTTAATTATTGCAATTAAGTAAAAAACAACAACACAGAATGGGGTAGGCAAACGTAAGACACATTGGGCTAACTGGATGGAAAGGAAAGTGGCTAGTGTATAAATGTTAAACATGTATTGTGGGCTTCTGGGTTGCGGTACTAACTTATTATGGCAAGAGATAAGCCTTGTTTTAGGGTGTATGGGATACACCTTAAGTCTGTAATACCACCTTTTTTTAATGCCTTTTTTAGGAAGGAAACAGAAGAAGCTCCCGACCAGGATGGGTTACTCCCAAAAAAGGATGTACAGAGAGAGATAGAAGAAGGGGAAATAGGGGAGGAAAAGGAAAACTGGTGGCAAAGAGGAAAAAATGATAAGGAGATAAAGATTTTTAATTTGTCAGATAACATTTTAACTTCATCACATATTAGTATTTTAAATTTGCACCTTGTTTTTTTAATAAATTTGACACATATGTAGATAATAGGTTTTTAAGGAAATTGTGCCTCAACGTTTTTTAAAGATAAAGAAATTGAGATATCAAGAGAGACTACTTTTAATGAAACACCTTTTAAACATGCAGTTTGAAAAAAACCTCTTCCTTTTATCCCATACACCTTACATCAAATAGCATGAACGTTTTTGAGAAAGCCTGTGTTAAAGATATTAAACAGATGAAAATAAAAAAACGATAAATACACCTATAATTTAACAATTAGAGAAAAACAATCACTAAAGGATAAAGACAGATCCTAATTTGGTTATTAAGCCAGCAGATAAAGGTGGTGGGATAGTGCTATTGAATAAGGATAAATATTTGAAAGAAATGTATAGACAGTTAGAGGATCGTGACACATATGAAAAATTAAAAGGTAATCCAACTGCAGAGATTAAAAGAAAATACGCCCAATTTTTAGATACAAGTTTGTTAACAGGTATCCTAACTAAGACAGAATACAACTTTTTAAATATAGATTCTCCTAAAATAACGGTAATATATATGTTACCTAAATTACATAAAGACATTCAGAATCCACCAGGGAGACCTATAGTCTATTGGGTATTTGTCCACACTTTCAAAATATGCTGACACGCACTTCCAATTCATCGTTAAGACCTGTCCATCTTATTTAAAAGACTCAAGTCTTTTACAAATTTCAAAGGATTTTAAATGGAGTAATTAATTTGTATTAATTACTTGTGATGTCACAAGCCTCTATACATGCAAAGAACACAGTAGAGGTTGTGTGGCTATTAAATATTTTTTAGAGTCATCTAATATCTTCCCCCTGGAACAGATGGATTTTATTTTAGATTTTTCTTATTTTAACTAATAATTTCTTCTGGTTTGAGGGGGACTACTATCTTCAAAGTAGAGGTACTGCGGTGGGGACTAGGTTCACACCCAGTTATGCCAATTTATTTATGGCATACTGGGAAAAGTTTTTAATTTATTCAGGGCATGGTTGGGCACAGAACCTAGTCCTCTACCGAAGATATACAGATTAAATTTTTTTCATTTGGCGTGGCTCTAGGGCACCTGTTTTAGAGTTTTTAGACTTTCTTAATAGTAATGATTGGAACATTACATTGTCTTATGAAATTAGTGATGTCAGCATAATTTTTTTAGATCTTAAAATCTAAATAGAGGAGAATCTTATTAAAACATGCACTTTTTTAAAGAAAGTGGATGTAAACAGTTTTATTCAGAAAGACAGTTGCCATTTTCTCCCCTGGTTAGAAAATGTGCCCAGGGGGTCAATTTTTGCCACTAAGATGCAACTGTTCAGATATATCTAAATACGACTCTCGAGCCAATTTATTGAAAAAACTATTTTTAAATAGGGGTCATTCTTCCGACATTGTAGATAAAGAAATTAAGAATGTTAGAGAATGCAAAAGAGATGCAATATTGACATATAAACCAAAAAAGTTGAATAACACCCAAGAATCTATTCCCTTTATTTTTCATTTCCACACAAACCACAAACAATTGAAAAACATTTTGAGGAAGAATTGGCATATCCTACAACAGGATAGTGAGATTGCACCCTATTTAGGCAATAATCCTAAAATAATCTTTAGAAGAGCCCAAAATAACTTCTAGTTTTATTGACCAAAATAATAAAGATTTTATTAGTTCATATAAAAATTTACAAATGGGGTTGCACTATTGTGGTAACTGTATGGGCTGTAAATCACTTTCTGTTCCAAAACTAATTTTAGAAAATTTTAAATTAATTAATTTATATCCTGTAACTCTAAAAGTGTTGTGTGGGTCATTGTGGTCTCCAGTATGGGGGGGAAACTTCCAGATGTTTGGGGACTAGGATACACAAGCACATATACAACATTAAAATGGGTCATCAAAACCATAACGTTTCTCTACACTTCCTAAATTATCACGATAAAGATCCCAGTGGAATCCAATTTTATGGTAAACAATTAATACAAAAACACTGGAGAGCTGGTAACTTGGAAACCACCGTAAGTAAATGTCAAATGAAATGGATTTTTGATTTAGATACCTTAAATATGGATTTTGAAATGAGTGCTTTGGTTTGAATTTAATTTTATCAAGTTTTGTCAATC